AGAATACTGGACTCTCCAGGGATGCCCTGAAGACTTGTTACACATTCCAGAAAGTGCTCACATTTCTTCAACCAGCGGACCTAGAGATTGCTGTGCACCTGTGGCGCGTTCTGTCCAGCCCACGAGCAGCAACTGCTCACACAGATACTGAGCCAATCAGAAACGAGGAAATCCTTCTAATACTTCCCATCTTCACCCAGGAATGAGTTGGTCAAGAGGTGACTCTTCTTGTCCTCACCTGCCTGTCCCAGGGCTCATGGCTCCTCTCGTCCATGAGTTTCTACATGCAAGTATGAACTAAAATGAGAACAGAACTGCCAGGTATGGTGGCTCGAGCCTGTTATCCCAGCACTTTGGGAGGCCGAGGCAGGAAGATCACTTGAGGTCAAGAGTTCGAGACCAGCCTGGGCAACCTGGAGAAACCTCATCTCTACTAAAAATACAAAAATTAGTTGAGTGTGATGGCACATGCCTGTAGTCCCAGCTACTCGGGAGGCTGAGGCAGGATTAAACCCAGGAGACAGGTTGCAGTGACCTGAGATTACGCCACTGCACTCCAACCTGGGCGACAGAGGGACTCTCTTTCTCAAAAACACAAACAGATACACGGATTAAAAAGGAGAAGCCCTAATTGCTCAAAGAAAATCAATAATTACCGTCCCCATTAGAAGCTCTGCATCTTGGGACCAAATAACTACAAGCCACATATGGAAAGGGCATTTAGTAGTTCACACACTAACTGATTCTAAAATAATTAGCTCTAGGGAGAGTGGCTGCATTGAAACATGGGCTCTCCACTGTATTTAGTTCAAGAAGTAACTCGGGGATGAGGAAAATGAAGTACATGTACCTGGCTGCAGGGTTAAGCAGCAGAAACAGCATTTTATTTTTATTTTTATTTTTAGACAGTCTCTTTCTCTGCAGCCCAGGCTGGAGAGCAGTGGCACGATCTTGGCTCACTGCAACCTCCACCTCCTGGGTTCACGGTGTTGGCCAGGCTGCCCCTGACCTGAAATGATTCACCCGCCTCAGCCTCCCAAAGTGCTGGGATTACAGGCTCAAGCCACCATGCACAGCCACTAGCTTCTGATAACAATTCTACTCTCTACTTCTATGAGCTCAGCGTATCAACATGGGCATGGATCTTTTCATGCCTGACTTTTCTCACAGAGGATAATGTCTCCCAAGTTTATCTGTGTTGTTGTCAATGGCAGAATTTCATTTTTTTATGGCTGTATAGTATTCCATGATGTATAGATATCACATTTTAAAAATCTAGTCATGTGTTACATAGAAAAGGTAGTAAGATTATGGAATCACATGGCAATTCTAGTTTTAGTTTTCTGAGAAAGTCCCATGCTGTTTTCCATCACAGCTGTGCTAATTTACATTCCCACCAACAGGCCCTGATCTTCCTTCTGTCCCAGTCCTCACCAGCATGTTTTACCTTCTGTCTTTTTGATGCTAGCGAATCTACTGAGTTAAGACAGCATCTCCTTGGGTTTGGATTTGCATTTACCTGATGATTAGTGTTCTTGGGCATTTTTTTCATCCTCTCCTTGGCCATGAGTCTGTCTTTTTTGGGGAAAAGATAGATCCTTTCAGATCCTTTAATAATCTTTTTTTCTTTTAAGACAAAATCTTGCTCTGTCACCCAGGATGGAGTGCAGTGGTGCAATCTCGGCTCACTGCAACCTCCGCCTCCTGGGTTCAAGCGATTCTCCTGCCTCAGCCACCAAGTAGCTGGGATGACATGCACCTGCCACCAGATACCTGGCTAACTTTTTGTATTTTTAGTAGAGACAAGGTTTCACCATGTTGGCCAGGCTGGTCTCGAACTCCTGACCTCAGGTGATCCACCTGCCTTGGCCTCCCAAAGTGCTGGGATTAGAGGGAGGAGCCACTGCACCTGGCCCCTTTGGTAATTTTTAATTGGATTATTGTTTTTCTACTGTTGTTTGTTTGAGATCCTTGTATTTTTGATGAGTAAATATTGTCTCTCGAATATGTGTAGATATATTCTCCCATTCTCCAGGTTGTGTCTTCACTCGGTCGCTTGTTTTCTTTGCTGTGCAGAAGCTTTTCTGGTTTCCTGTAGGCCCATTGATCTATTTTTGAGATGTTGCCCAGAAAATCTTGGCCCACACAAAGGTCCTGAAGCATTTCCTCTACTGTTTATTTTAGGGATTTCATCACTTGGGGTCCTGTATTGAAGTGTCTAATTAGTGTTGAGTTTGTTACTGTATATGGTGAGTGAGGGGAGCTAGTTTTATTCTTCTGAGCACATTATCCTGTTTTTCTAGCACCATTTAGTGAACTAAGGGTTCTTTCCCCTGTGCTAGTTCTTGGTGCTTTTGTCAAAAGTCAGTTGGGTGTAAATACACGAGTTTTTTCCTGGAGTGTCTATTCTGTTCTGTCTTCCTACATGAAAAAATCACATTTTAGGGTGGGCACCGTGCCTCACACCTTGGGAAGCCAAGGTGGGTGGATCACCTGAGGAGTTCGAGACCAGCCTGATCAACATGTTGAAAACCCATCTGTAATAGAAACACAATAAATTAGGCTGGTGGTGGGCACCTGTAATCCCAGCTACTTGAGAGGCTGAGGCAGGAGAATTGCTTGAACCTGGGAGGTGGAGGTTCCAGTGAGCTGAGATCGCAGCACTGCACAGCAGCCTGGGTGACAGCGAGACTGCATTTCAAAAAAAAAAAAAAATTTACATTCTCTTTGTGAGAAGGAATCTCGGTGTATTGCCTGACACCCGCCTTCAACCTTCCCACCTGGATGTTCTTTTCACTCTTGGCTTCACTGTGGGTGGGCAGCAAATTGTACAGACAAAATGAAGTTTAACAAACTGTCTGAAACTTTGGTGTTTCTTCCCCTGAGGAATTCCCCTGAGGAATACCAGCTCTTCATTTGCAGAGAATTGGAAGTCTAGAAATTCAATTATCCCTCTTCTTTCAGTTCAAACAGCTAGATGCTGGAAATACAGGTTCAATTGAAAGTTGGAAGCAGCAGCCCTGGAAATTTGCACAGTATCGCTGCTGAGGGGGGCTTCACGCAGGACACTGACAGGTCAGTGTGAGCACATGTGCGCACATACACACACACACACACACACGCACACACACTTGACTTCCTCTCTACTGTGGCGAGAAGCAGGCCCCCGGCTGCAAGTTCTGCCTGAATGGGTCAAGCCATCTACAAAACTCTCCCCTCCCTCCTGACTTTTGCTCAAAACACCTTTCTCAGACTGCAGATTCAAGGAACAGCCACGCCAGTCACCCCCATATCTATGGAAGCCCTTGATGTGGACTGCCCTCTTTGATCTCAGCAGGAAGAGGGTCTCCTCCCTCCCACCTGCTTCATCCTGGAGGAAGAGCTGCCTCTAGGATGAAAACATTGGGCAGGACATTGACAGTTTGCTATGTGAGCACATGCATGCACGCGTGCGCACACGCACACACGCACACACGTGCATGTGCACACACTTGACATCCTCTCTACAGTGGCGAGAAGCAGGCCTCCGGCTGCAAGTCCTGCCCGAATGGGTCAAGCCATCTACAAAACTCTCTCCTCCCTCCCCACTTTTGCTCAAAACACCTTTCTCAGACTGCAGACTCAAGGAACAGCCACGCCAGCCACCCCCATATCTGTGGGAGCCGCTGAGGTGGGCTCCCCCTTGGCCCTCGGCAAGAAGAGAGTCTCCCCCTCCTACCTGTGTCATCCTGGGGGAAGAGCGGCCTCTAGAATGGAAGCGTTGGGTAGAAGGGTGCGGAGTAGAGACGCATCACCACTTCAGTGCCTGACCGATTCCTTTGTACCAGACCCACACAGCCCTGTAATATCGTGGCACCCATTTCCCTGGCGGCGTCACTCAGCTGCAGATCCATCCCAGACCACAGCAGTGGATGCTATTTTTACCTGGATCAGGTCATAGCTTCTCCTTTGTTCCTGTTTCTGAAGGAATGCCTGTACCCTCGGAAGCCAGGATCTCAGACAAAGGCTCTCCAATCCCGAAGCTCCTTCTGTCTCCCAGAAGCGTGGGGCGTCTGTGCTGGGGTCACTGCAGGCAGGTGTGTCATCGGCCCTCAGCAGTGCATCACTGCAGGCAAGTGAGGGCTGCTTCCAGGCGGAGTCGACCGGCTCCTGCTCACCGGTGTCAGGGCCACAGGTAGTGCAGACAGACATGAGGGCACGACTGGCCTGAACTGTGTCTTTGCTGGGCACTGGGTGGTCCCTGTTCTTCCACGTCATGGATTCCCGGTCCAAGCCCTGCGACCCTGTCCAATTCCAATACCCCCAGCTTCCTCCCTCCCTAAAAGGGTGGATTCGGGATGCGCAGCTCGGGAGGAACTGTGTCCTTTCCCAAGAATCTGCGCTCCTTGGGCCTTCTGTGTTCTGCTCTGACCTGCTCAAGTCTCCACCAGAGATCAGCCCTAAATATAGCTCAGCCATGTGCATACCGGGGTACCTGTCTTTCCATTCCCCGGGGTACACCCCAAAGAGTAAGAGACAAACGTGGGACAGAGGGCCTTCTGTGATGCGAGGGCAGAAGCTGCATTCTTACACCAAGGCTGTGCGGACATCAGCCTTCATCACGGGCTGTGACTCTCACACCGAGACGTCCGCAGCACCCTCCATCACAGAACCAGCGTCTTCCCTTCCCTTATGTAAGCCGTGCCTCGGGGTAAGCGTTTGTCCTTTTTTTTTTTTTTTTTCTTTCTTGGGCTGTTATGCTTGGGGTTAGCCATGAGTTGGGCGCAACTTGAAAGCCCCTTCCGTGTCCAACACAGAGAGAGAGAGAGGGACAGAGAAGGGTCAGCCGAGTCTCTCCGTTAGCACCCTGTTTCTTTTACGGGAATATCCCTGCTCACCAATACCGGGGTGCAGGGTGTGAGTGGGGGAAAGACGAAGAAAGGGGGACTCCCAAAGAAGGGGTGACATGCAAGGAGGGCGACATCCACCACTCAGCGCTGCGCGGGACAGAGTGGTGGAGGGAAGGCAGGGCGGTGGGAGGGTGATGGAGAGGCGCGCGGGGCGGGTGGAAACGCGTGCTCGCCCCGCACCTCCGCATCCGCGAGGGGAGGCTCCTGCCCCGCGCCGCAGCCAGTCCCCGCGCGCTCGCCCCCGCGCCTCCCTCCCGCGCCCCCGCTCCTCCGGCCGCCCCCGCGCCCCCCGCCGCCTCCTCCGCCCGTGGACCGCTGCGCGCTGCTGCCCCGGGGGGCTGGCGTTTCCACCTGTCACCGCGCCGCCGCCGCCGCCGCCCAAGTTTTCAGGGAACTTACCTGGCGCGTCGTGTGCCTCAGGCTCTTCCCCATGGCCGCCGCCCCCTCCTCCCGCCAGCTCCCCGGGCCCCCCGCGCCCCCCGCCCAGCCCTGCGGCCGCCGGGCCCGATGAACGCCAGCAGCGGGGACTCGGGGGGTGGGAGCCCCGCGCGCAGCCGCCCGCACCCCGAGCGCTCCTGCTTCCGAGCAGCCACGCAGCGTCCGTCCGGGGCAGGAGCATTGCGGATGCGGCGCGGGGCCGGCGCGGGGCTCCGGGCGCTCTCGGGGGTCGTGAGCGCCGCGCCCCGCGCCCCCGCACGCCCCCCACCCGCCCGCGCGCCCCGCCGGGGCCATGCAGTCTCTCATGTCGCCGGTGACCAAGGCGATCCTGGTGGCCCTGTTCAGCTTCGCCATCCTCCTCATCCTCTACGTGATTCTCTGGTACATCTGCCGCGATGTGGACTGCGACCACGGCATCTGAGCGCCGCCGGACCCCCGGGCCGCCACGCGGGGGGCGTCCGCGGCGGGAGGGCCCTGGGGACTGAGCGGTCCCGCGGTGCCCCCAGCTTGGCGCTGGAGACCCCCGCCCCGGGCCCCGCCGCCGGCCCTGCACCGCCTCCTGGCCTTGACCTTCAGCGACGCGCCGGGGAGAGCGGGTGAGTGCAGTCGCGCGGCGGCTCCAGGGCGGGGGAGCCCCAACTTCGGGGAGGGCGCCAGATCCGGACGCGAGACCGAACCCGAGGATGCGCGGAGCCCGGGGTTCCCCTGGGGACACGGGAAGCGGCAGGCGGCCGTGCAGAGGGATGGGCGCCGGCCCGTCCTGCTCCTCCAGGTCCGTCCCACCTTCCCACCCACTGCGCGCCCTGGGTCCGAGGACCAGACGCGCTCCCGCCTGTGGCCGCCACCCGGGGAGCAGGACGCGCGGGCTCTCGGGTGGGTCCGTGCGCTATTGCACACCACGCGCTATCGGGTCCCCAGTCCTCTGCCCCAGCGGTGGGGACCCCGCACTCAGGTGCTCTGTCACCTCTACTGACAAAAAAAAAAAAAAAAAAAAAAAAAAACCCCGCTGAGCGCAGTGCTGGGAACCGAGCGAGCGTCATCCACCGCCAAGGCACACCTCTAGGGACGAATGGAAAACAGAATTTAAACCAGTTCGGACCAGGTGCCCCCAGGGAAGCCTGGGGTGCAGCGGGGGTAGGAGCTGTCCCTTAAAGTCCTCTGGCCCCTGCTCCAGAAGGGAGAGTGACGGACGTGACAATGATGAGGCTTTGTCCCACACCAATTGTGACGGGCAAGTTTGGGAAGGTGAAGCAATCTTTGACTAAATAAACACCTTCTGAGACAGAAAAAACGCCTCCCTTTGAATATTTCTCTGGCGGGGGGGAACCCTGTGAGGAAAAACACCCAATTTAAACAGAGTGCCAATTTATGCACGGGCAACCTGCTGGGATGTCTCCCTCTGGTAATCAGGGCAGACAGCAGCTGTTTGGGGGCTCACCTCGGATCTTACTGAGCTTTTCTGCGCGTTGTTTAGGTTTGTGGATTCCTCCGTGATTCAGTTTCCAGACACTTAAGGGTTAAGGAGACAAAAAAAATCCTGGGACTTTTGATCCTAGGATAATGTATAGATTGCTTGTCCTGAGAGTTGGGACTGCAAATGTGTGATTTGGGATGGTTAGGGTGTGTGTGTGTGTGTGTGTGCGCGCGCGCGCGCACGCGCGCGCGTTTGTTTTCTGTAGTTAAAATTGGAGCCGAGGCAGTGAGTGATTCTGCAGCACCTGAGCCACAGAAGCCGGCGTCTGCACAGCGCGGTTGGGGGCAGCTGTCAGGTTCACCTCCGGACAAGAAAGGCCTGTCCTCAACTTGTCCCCACCCCACCCCCCACTCCCAGATCACTTACCCAAATCTACGATTTTTACAGCTCAGTTCACAAAGACTCTCTGACAGCAGAACAGACAGGTGTGTTTGAAGCACTGCCTGTGCCGCAGGTATGAAATTAACTGGAAAGAAACAGGGTAGACGCTTGATTATGAAAATCGAAAATGGGATGCTTTGCAGATTATTTATTCCCCAATGGAGGAAAAGGCTACTGAGCTTCACCTAGGACATCCCACCCAGGGAATCCAAAATTAACAAGGGCCTACTCCAATAGAAGAAGGAAGATTCAACCCAAGAAGCCTGTTTCTCAGGTGAGGGTCTGGGAGGAAACAGGGCTGTGGGCATCCATCATTAGTGGTGCTTGTGTAGGAAAGGTATGAAAACGCAGTTACCACCGAAACCAGATTTCAGCCACTAATCATCCTCGCCCTAAACATGACAGCTGGGTCCCAGTCCCATCTGGTGATTTCTTAGAGCGTATACATTCTCAGCCTGTCTTGGATTAGTCTTCTTACATAAAATTTCAATTTCAACAGAGCAATGTTTATTCAGTTTCCCAGAGAATGTCCTGTCATGAATTAGGAACTAGCCATCTACATATTGATTTTCTATGAACGAGTACACTAAATTTCCTACTTAGTAGTCACTACCGTGCCCGCTGAAAGCCTCGTCATATCATCAGAACAAAACGCAGGGCTTCAGAATTCAAAGGGCAGGGCGTGCAGCAAGTCACAAGGCGCTCTTGTGGAAGAAGAACACTAACACCCCTGGCAGATACTCTTCTTCCCCCAAGTACACAAGGGTAGAACCGGAAGCCTTTACACAGAAGGAAATCACACGGCCTCGGGCCTGTGCAGCCTCCTGCGTGATGTACAAAACACCTTCCCCTGCGGCGTTCCTCCGAATCTACGCCACCGGCCTGGGAAGATGCCAGGTTGCCGCTAACACTCCTGTTTCAGGTACAGAAACCAAAGCAGGTAGAAGTCAAGGTCACCCAGCGGGTCAGTGCAGAGCTGTCACTGGAAGTGACACAGACTCACACTTGGAGCTTTTGGCTAGAGATTGGGTTTCTTTCTCCCCTTGTGGCTCTTCTCTGGGATCCTCTTTTATATCCACCAGTTCACACTGAGATCCATCCGTTTACCAAGGGAGTCCTTAGATCATCGTGACCATTTTGGTATTTCTTTTCTTTGCTGTGTTACCCAGGCTGGAGTGCACTGGTAACCTCTGCCTCCTAGGTTCAAGCAACTCTCCTGCCTCAGCCTCCCGAGGACCTGGGATTATAGGCACGTGCCACCACGCCTGGCTAAGTTTTGTATTTTTAGTAGATACGGGGTTTCACCATGTTGGCCAGGCTGGTCTCGAACTCCTGACCTAGTGATCCACCTGCCTCAGCCTTCCAAAGTGCTGGGATTACAGGCGTGAGCCATGTGGCCCAGTCCATTTGCATATTTCACACCTAAAGAAGAGAGAGAGTGTGTGAGTTTTACAACAGCCGCATGGCCACTCAGGATGCTTTGCTGGAACCTAGAAGCATAAAACCTAACTGAGCAGAAGGACACTCAATAAAGCCGGGAAGAGTCCGACAAGACAGAAACCTCTGAGCTATTATCTTAATTTTCTGTGGACAACCCACGGATGCAGGGGTGGATAGAGTACTGTCAAAACACCTGTGCTTTCCTACAAATAACCATTAGACCGAATAGTTGCTGTCGGCACCAACCTTAAGTTACAATAATATTATGTACATTGTATTTTACCCTCTGACAGCAAGAGAAATATAATTAGTACCCCAATTACACAGAGCAGAAAAATAAGGCTGGAAAAAAAACGTGATGTAACTTCCCCAAGAATAAAAGAAAAAAAACTCATCGGCCACCAAGCTTTTACTCATGAATCTGTAGCAAACATGTGTGTCTGTGGTGTGTGTGTGTGTGTTTGTGGTGTGTGTGTGTTTCTGGCATGGTGTGCTTGTGGCGTGTGTGTTTGTGGTGTGTGTGTGTGGTGTGTGTTTGTGGTGTGTGTGTTTGTGGTGTGTGTGCATTTGTGGTGTGGTGTATTTGTGGTGTGTGTGTTTGTGGTGTGTGTGTGTGGTGGGTGTGTTTGTGGTGAGTGTGTTTGTGGTGGGTGTGTTTGTGGCATGGTGTGTTTGTGGTGTGTGTGCTGTGGTGTGTGTGTGGTGTGTGTGTGCTTGTGGTGGGTGTTTTTGTGGTGGGTGTGGTATGGTGTGTTTGTGGTGTGTGTGTTTGTGGTATGGTGTGTCTGTGGTGTGTGTGTCTGTGGTGTGTTTGTGTTTGTGGTGGGTGTGTTTGTGGTGTGTGTGTTTGTGGTGTGTATGTTTGTGGTATGCTGTGTTTGTGGTGTGTGTGTGTTTGCCCCATGGTGTGTTTGTGGGGTGTGTGTGTGTTTGTGGTGTATTTGTGGTGTGTGTGTTTGTGGGGTGTGTGTGTTTTTGGTGGGTGTGTTTGTGGTATGGTGTGTTTGTGTTATGGTGTGTTTGTGGTGTGTGTGTGTTTGTGCTGTGTGTGTTGTGGTGTGTGTGTTTGTGGTGTGTGTGTGTTTGTGCCATGGTGTTTATGGGGCGTGTCTGTGTTTGTGGTGTGTGTGTTTGTGGTATGCTGTGTTTGTGGTGTGTGTGTTTGTGGTGTGTGTGTGTGTTTGCACCATGGTGTGTTTGTGGGGTGTGTTTGTGTTTGTGGTGTGTGTGTTTGTGGTGGTGTGTGTGTCTGTGGTGTGTAGGTTTGTGGTATGCTGTGTTTGTGGTGTGTGTGTGTTTGCGCCATGGTGTGTTTGTGGGGTGTGTGTGTGTTTGTGGTGTGTGTGTTTTTGGGGTGTGTGTGTGTTTGTGGTGGGTGTGTTTGTGGTATGGTGTGTTTGTGGTGTGTGTGTGTTTGCGCCATGGTGTGTTTGTGGGGTGTGTGTGCGTGTTTGTGGTGTATTTGTGGTGTGTGTGTTTGTGGGGTGTGTGTGTGTTTGTGGTGAGTGTGATTGTGGTATGGTGTGTTTGTGGTGTGTGTGTTTGTGGTATGGTGTTTGTGGTGTGTGTGTTTGTGCTGTGTGTGTTGTGGTGTGTGTGTTCGTGGTGTGTGTGTGTTTGCACCATGGTGTGTTTGTGGGGTGTGTTTGTGTTTGTGGTGTGTGTGTTTGTGGTGTGTGTGTCTGTGGTGTGTAGGTTTGTGGTATGCTGTGTTTGTGGTGTGTGTGTGTTTGCGATGGTGTGTTTGTGGGGTGTGTGTGTGTTTGTGGTGTGTGTGTTTTTGGGGTGTGTGTGTGTTTGTGGTGGGTGTGTTTGTGGTATGGTGTGTTTGTGGTGTGTATGTTTGTGGTATGCTGTGTTTGTGGTATGCTGTGTTTGTGGTGTGTGTGTGTGTTGTGGTGTGTGTGTTTGTGGTATGGTGTGTTTGTGGTGTGTGTGTGTTTGTGCTGTGTGTGTTGTGGTGTGTGTGTTTGTGGTATGGTGTGTTTGTGGTGTGTGTGTGTTTGTGCTGTGTGTGTTGTGGTGTGTGTGTTTGTGGTGTGTGTGTGTTTGTGCCATGGTGTGTTTATGGGGTGTGTGTGTGTTTGTGGTGTGTATGTTTGTGGTATGCTGTGTTTGTAGTGTGTGTGTTCGTGGTGTGTGTGTGTTGGCACCATGGTGTGTTTGTGGGGTGTGTGTGTTTGTGGGGAGGGTGTGTGTTTGTGGTGTGTATTTGTGGGGCGTATGTTTGTGGTATGCTGTGTTTGTGGTATGCTGTGTTTGTGGGGTGTGTGTGTTTGTGGTGTGTGTGGTGTGTGTGTGATATGGTGTGTTTCTGGTGTGTGTATGTGTTTCGGTGTGTGTGTTTGTGGTATGGTGTGTTTGTGGTGTATGTGTGTCTGGTGTGTGTGTTTGTGGTGTATGTGTGTTTGTGGTGTGTGTGTGGAGTGTGTGTGTGTAGGGTGTGTGTGGGGTATGTGTGGTGTGTGTTTGTGGTGTGTATGTTTGTGGTATGCTGTGTTTGTGGGGGGTGCGTGTGTTTGTGGTGTGTGCATGTGTGTATATAAAATCACCCAGAAGTTTTAAATTATGTTTCTACTTTCAGATCTCTTTTAGGGTTTAAAATTAGTCATTTTCTTTTAAGTTTTTAAAAATTGATTATGGAATAACTGCTAATTATTTCCAGACACTGCTCACACAGGTTTCCATTTTTAACATTTTTATGTATTTTATTTTTAAGACAGGTCTGGCTCTGTCCCAGGGCTGGAGTGCAGTGATGCAGTCTCGGCTCAATGCAACCTCCGCCTTCCGGCCTCGGGCAGTTCTCATGCCTCAGTCTTCCGAGTGGCTTGGACCATGGTCCTGAGCCATCACACCTGACTGATTTTGGGACTATTTACTAGAAACGGATTTCATCACATTGGCCAGGCTGGTCTTGAACTCCTGACCTCACGGGATCCACCCACCTCAGCCTCCCAAAGTACTGGGATTTCAGGCTTTTGGTGTATTTTTTAATGCATATTGACAATCAGTCATAAAAAAATTTAAAAAGTGAATTCAACAGTTTTTCTGTATTTTAGAAGTTATTAGTTATGTCCATAGTGTAAGGAAAACTCTCTTATTTCAAAAGGCCATGTTAATATATGTATATACATTATTATTATTATTTTGAGAAGGAGTCTCACTCTGTCGCCCAGGCTGGAGTGCAGTGGCACAACCTTGGCCTCTTGGACTCAAGCAATTCTGCCTCTGAGTAGCTGGGATTACAGGCATGCGCCACCACGCTCGGCAAATTTTTGTGTTTTTAGTAGAGGCGAGGTCTCACCACGTTTGCCAGGCTTGTCTCGAACTCCTGACCGCAAGTGATCTGCCTGCCTCAGCCTCCCAAAGCGTTGGGATTACAGATGTGAGCCACGGCGCCCAGCAAGTATATTTTATTTATTCCCAATTGTAAAGATTTTTATGAGTCTTAAAAAAAAAGAGCCTTAAAGCGAACCTTCTGAAAAAGTGACCCTAAATGCGTTTTGCTTGCTTTCCCATATAATGTGAAGACCCTTCTAAAAGCCGCCGTACTTGCTTTCTGCAGCCTTCCAAACTTAAGGGGAAGGTCCCCCACGCGGCAGAGAGGGCCTCCTGGAAACTTCAGCTTCTGTGCAAGAAGACTGGAGGGAAGTGGGCAAATTTGAGTCGTATGGAAGCCTGAGATGGAGCAAAGCTTAAGAACATGTAGACAGTAAGTCGAGGGGGCATGCTCAGCTAGAGGAACTTTCTAACGCTGATCATTAAGGGCAGGGCACAGTGGCTCACCCCTGTCATCCCAGCACGTTGGGAGGCCGAGGTGGAAGGCTTGCTTGAGTACAGGAGTTCAGTACCAGCCTGGGCAGCATACTGAGACTTCATCTCTAAGAAAGAACAAAAAGGGACCAGGCACAGTGGCTCACGCCCATAATCCCAGCACTTTGGGAGGCCGAGGCGACAGATCACTTGAGGTCAGGAGTTCCAAACCAGCCTGGTCAACATGGTGAAACCTATCTCTACTAAAAATACAAAAGTCAGCCAGGCATGGTGGCACATGCCTGTAATCCCAGCTACTCAGCAGGCTGAGGCAGGGGAATCACTTGTATACAGGAGGCAGAGGCTGCAATGAGCTGAGATTGGGCCACTGCACTCCAGCATGGGGGGGAAAAAAAAGCAAAAAGAGAGAGAGAGTGAGAAAGAAAGACAGAGAGGAAAAAAGGAGGGAGGGAAGGAAGGAAGGAAGAACAGAGGGAGGGAAGGAGGGAAGAAAGGAGGGAAGAAGGGAGGGAGGAAGGATGGGAGGGAAGGAAGGAAGAAGAGAGGGAGGGAGGTAAAGAAGGAAGAAGGGAGGGAGGGAAGGAATGAAAGGAAAGGAAGGAGGGAGGGAAGAAAGGAGGGAGGGAGGGAAGGAGGAAGGAAGGAGGGAAGGAAGGAGGAAGGAAAGGAGGGAAGGAGGGAGGGAACGAAGGAGGGAAGGAAGGAGGGAAGGAGGGAGGGAGGGAAGGAGGAAGGGAAGGAGGGAAGGAGGGAGGGAAGGAAGGAGGGAAGGAAGGAGGGAGGGAGGGAGGGAGGGAGGGAGGGAGGGAGGGAGGGAGGGAGGGAGGGAAGGAGGGAAGGAAGGAAGGAGGGAGGGAGTGAAGGAGGGAAGGGGGGAGGGAAGGAAGGAGGGAGGGAGTGAAGGAGGGAAGGGGGAGGGAAGGAAGAAAGGAAGGAGGGAAGGAAAGGAAGGAAGGAGGGAAGGAAGGAACAGGCAGCCTCAGAAGGGGTCTTGCTTGCTTGTGTATTTCCCCAAGGGAGGTGTGGAAGTCGGGAGGAAATACAAAGAAGCAAGTCTGTGGGTCACCAGACGTCACACTCGATAAGAATATTTACATACCTTCCAACTTTATATCACTGAAAAAAAACAAAGTTCTTTAGCAGAAATAAACATTTTGGAATTCAAGATAAGTGAAACGGGAAAAAAAGAATCGGGTTGAAAATGTCGCTCTTGCTCTCAAAGCTGTTCTGAGTTCATGAATATAGAGGTTGGGAATGTTGCTCGGGTTACTGTGATGCTCCGTAACCCTCTTCTCCTCCTTCACCCTAAAACGAAGGTCCTTTTCCATCTCCTCCCCTCCGGCCCTGCTCCACAGGTGTTCATATTGCAACTTGCCTGCATTGCAGATGTCTGTAAAAGAGGAGTGGGGAGGAGGCCGAAAGATAACAGAGAGTTCCACCATGCTGACAGACAGGGAGAGGCCAGCCTGAGGCCGACATGCTAGCTCTGTGATCCACGGAGCTCCACCTTGTCAGGCTAAATCCCATTTACAACGTGAACTGGGAAATAGATGTGAATTTGTAGCTATGAGAGGCAGTGCGGGGGCCTGACTCTCAGAGCTGCGTCCTTTCAGGATGTAAGAGACACAGGACAAACGCAGGCTCCTAAGAGGTAGAGGAGCCTTCACACTCACACGGTTCCCAACACTTCCCAGCCAGTGTGCCCGGCCAGGAGGCTCTACAGTGGGAAGAAGAATCTGCGAACGGTGCCTCCAAGCAGGAAAACACTGCTGTGGCACGAGCCAGACACCTGCCGTGTTTTCTCAGTAATACCATTTCTTCTTCTTCTTCTTTTTTTTTTTTTGAGACAGAGCCTCTCTCTGTTGTGCAGGCTGGAGTCCAATGGCGTGACCTTGGCTCACTGCAACCTCCACCTCCTGGGTTCAAGCGATTCTCCTACCTCAGCCCTCCCGAGTAGCTGGGATTACAGGCATGAGCCACCATGCCCAGCTAATTTTTGTGTTTAGAGATGGGGTTTCACCACGTTGGCCAGGCTGGTCTTGAACTCCTGACCTCAGGTGGTCTGCCCACCTTGGCCTCCTAAAATGCTGGGATCACAGAAGTGAGCCACCGCGCCCAGCCGGGTAATGCCATGTGTAGAAAGATCATGTCTCCATGAGTTATTCCCCGCCCCCCTCCAAACACCCCACTGATTTGTCTTAGCAACATGTGAAGTGTGAATTCAAGGGACGAATGAGTGAAACAGACAGGGTGGCATCATAGGAACCTACAGGCAACGCCATACTGGGGTGAGGGGTGCAGACAGAGGGGGATGTTCCCCCATCGGAGAAGTGTGTCCGAGCACTGCCATTGTGTGACAAGCATGGGCACTTCCTTTCCAAAACTCTCCCCAGAGGCAGGATCTTTCAAGAGCTATCATCCTGGCATTGTACCCTTAGCTAGGGAGCCTTCCAGGCAGAGGCAAGGACTTTTGGAAATATCTAAGCCTCCGTCACCACCAAGTCTGGGGCACAACTTCAGAAACCAGTTTAATCAATATGGCTTTTAGCTCAAAATAGCATGAGCGTAAGGTAAGGTCTAGACAGCCGCTTGGAGGCGATTCTGAAACAGTTTCAAAAATAGGTTACAGCACATGGAGCCCTTTGAATGAGCGCCGGCCTGGAGGAAAGGGATCAGACTCACTGTGCGGAAAGCTCAGGAGCAATCTCTCTGGTAAACTCTCCTCAGTTGCCTCGTAAGCAGGATTTTCCTGATGTAGGAGCAACACGTTTGCATTTATTGAACAGCTACTGTGGGTCTATGACAATTTTACACCTTTATTACAAAACCTTGGGATAGGCTGTTACATTTTCTTCTGGGGAAGGTGAAAACTGTCTTTATTTATGTGGTCAAAAAGCTGTCCGTGGCTGGGTGTGGCAGCTCACACCTGCAATCCCGGCCCTTTGTGGGAGTCTCTGGATGGCAGATCGCTTGAGATCAGGAGTTCAAGACCAGCCTGGCCAACATGGCGAAACCCCGTCTCTGCCAGAAAGACAAAAAGTAGCCAGGAGTGGTGATGCACACCTGTAATCCCAGCTGTCTGAGAGGCTGAGGAGGGAGAATCACCTGAACCCAGGAGGCAGAGGTGGCAATGAGCTGAGAGCGTGCCTCTGCATTCCAGCCTGGGTGACAGAGTGCGACCCTGTCTCAGAATAAATAAGCAGTAGATAAAGAACTGCCCACTGGGGATCTGAAAGCCGTGTTGCCAGCAGCCAGCAGAGGCGGTTTTTCACGTCATTGTGCTGTCTCTTACCATCTAACCAGACTCAACCTTCCACTCCACCCGCCTCCACCTGTGTCTGACTCCTCAGGTGACGATGCATAGCCATCCCTTGGCGCTGTTTGCATGAATGCAATGATTCAGGTCGTCAGTGAGACCACCACCCAGAATGCTCATGAACACCCTCAGGATGGATGGACGTCATTAGGGAAAGAGAAAAGCTAAGTGTCCCCCAAGCCCATCCGTCAATGCTGGTCTGATCACAGCACCTCGATGCACTACTCCTCATTGCTCATTCCCACCTGTGTGAAGTGTAGATCACATCACGATGGAAGCTAAGTGAGTTACCATGATTTTCTTTATTATTTTTATTTTTGGAGACGGAATCTCAGTCTGTCGCCCAGGTTGGAGTGCACTGGCGTGATCTCGGCTCTCCGCAACCTCCGCCTCCAGGTTCAAGCGATTCTCCTGCCTCAGCCTCCTCAGTAACTGGGACTACAGGCACCTGCCACCACACCTGGCTAATTTTTGTATTTTTAGTAGAGACGGGGTTTCACTGTGTTCGGCCAGGCTCTCTCAAACTCCTCACCTCAGGTGATGCGCCTCCCTCGGCCTCCCAAAGTGCTGGGATTACAGGCGTGAGACACCGCACCTGGCCAGTTTTCCTTAATATCTCATATTTTAGGCTGGCTCACACCTGTAATCCCAGCACTTTGGGTGGCTGAGGTGGGTGGATCACGAGGTCAAGAGATCAAGACCATCCTGGTCAACATGGTGAAACCCCGTCTCTACTAAAAATACAAAAAAAAAAAAAATTAGCTGGGCATGGTGGCATGTGCCTGTAATCCCAGCTACTCAGGAAGCTGAGGCAGGAGAATTGCCTGAACCCAGGTGGTGGAAGTTGCTGTGAGCCGAGATCATGCCATTGCACTCTAGCCTGGGTAACAAGAGTGAAACTCCATCTCAAAAAAATATATATATTTCATCTTTTAGTATGACACTGATGGACAATTCTAACGGGAATTATGATAACATGGAAATTACAATAACATGGAAATTAGATCTTACCTACCACAAAAGACAAAAGAAAAGGAAAAAAAAAAAACTATCTAACTGAATAAAGAACTTTGGGAAGGCCGAGGTGGTCAGATCACTTGAGGTCAGGAGTTTGAGACCTGCTGGCTGACATGGTGAAACCCTGTCTCTACTGAAAAAGAAAAATTAGCTGGGTGTGATGGCAGGCACCTGTAATTCCAGCTATTGGGGAGATTGAAGCAGGTGAATCTCTTGAAGCCAGGAGGTGGAGGCTGCAGTGAGACGAGATCAGGTTCCAGCAGTTCTCCGGCCTCAGCCTCCAGAGAGTAGCTGGGATTACAGGTGATCCTCTCACCTCAGCTTCCTGAGTAGCTGCGACTACAGGCATGTGACACCACAGTAAGCAACACATAGGGTTTCCCCAGGTTTTCCAGGCTGTTCTCAAACTCCTGGTCTCTGACCCTCCTGCTTCAGCCTCCCAGAGTGCTAGGATCAGAGGCATGAGCCACCCTATTCAATGCAGAGATTATTTATTTCATTTTTTCTTTTCTTTTTTTTAAGACAGAGTTTCGCTCTTGTTACCCAGGCTGGAGTGCAATGGCGCAATCTCGGCTCACTGCAACCTCTGCCTCCTGGGTTCATTC